CTGCCTCCTGCCCTGGTTCCCGTTTTTGCCAGTATATACAACAGACTGATCCAGTCTGTTCCACATCCCATTCAGCTCTCATACATGTCAATGGGCATTGAAGCCTAGTTCAACCCAACCAGCCCCATTATCCAGCCCACACATGTACTGGCAGGTAGCACTCTCTTTCTAGCCATGCCTGTCCTTGTCTTAATTCTCATTTTCACCCGTTGGAGTGGTAACCAAAGAGGGAAGTGCCCACTGTTTCCCTGCTGGGCCGATTCCCACTCCCGGTTCTTGCACCCTCCAGGTGGGTCTGCAGTTTACCTCAACAGAGTTTTACCCCTCTGCCAGTGTCTGCTAGCTGATGCTGTGGCAAAGTCCAACCAACCCATAACCATTCTGGGTTTATGCATGCACCAGTAGATACAGTCCATCCAGCCTGGCTTGTCCCTGATCCAGCTTACATGCAGACCAACAGGTGTGGCCCTGCCTGGCCTGGTCTGTCCCCATTCCCAGCTCTCACACTTACCAGTAGCAGTAGTGGACCAGCAGGGGATCTCCCTGCAGCTCCCATTACTGGGGTCACCACTTTCCCCCAGGGGTCTCATGTGTGCTGGTTGGGCACTGAGGCCTAGTCTTTCATGACCCACCTCACTTTGGCATTTGCCAGTGGATGCTGTAGCCTGCCCAGCACGGCCCACCCCCAGTTTCAGTTCATGCTGGTGGGGGCTACAGCCTAGCCAGCCCAGCCAGCCCTGAGTCCCGGTCCTAGTGTAAACTGGCTGGTATTGCAGCCTGACCTGGCAAGACCCACACCCCATTCTGGCTCTTGGATTTGCCAGCTGGTGATATGAACTGGTCCAGCCTGGCTCGACCCAGACTTGAGGCAGAGGTAAGCCTGAGGGTACCATTCCCTGGCCTGGTCTAGGCTGCTCCCTTTCTTGGTTCTTGCACTCACCTGCAGGGACTGTGTCCTGACAGAGGAGTTGCCAAGCTCCTCCATCCAAACCTCTTCTAATACCAGATCTGGCACCCATTGTTGGGTCCATGGACCAGCCCTACTTAGTCCACTTCCTGTCCTAGCAGAAACAGTGGCCTTTCCTGACTGCCCCTCATCCATTCTGGTTCTAACTGTTGGATGTTACAGCCCAGCCAAACCTGATCCATACCCAGACACAGCTCACACATGGCTCAGCAGGGACAGAGACCTAGCCTAGCTCCTCCTATACCCACCGTGGTTCTCACAAGCTCCAGTGGGTGCTGTTGTTTTGCATGCCCCAGACCCAGTCCACACCTGTGCCGAGGGAGATTGCAATCTGGCCCCTGTGCTTTCCAGTGGGAGCCACAACCCAGCCAGGGCATCCCCTTTGCTCTCCATCCAGGCCTAATCCCAGCCACTGATCTCACGTGTGCCAGTTGTTGCTCTGAGTCAGTTTGGCTTAGCACCTCCCCTTCATGGCCTTTGCCTGGCCTGGCCCAGGTGGTCCCCAGTCCCAACTGTTGCTGGCAGGTGCTGGAACCTGTTCCTATTCAGTCTGCTTTCATCCCTGACTCATGCAAACCAGTACGTGTGGCAGCCTAACCCAGCATGACCTGTGCTCCATCCTGGTTTCTGCATTTGCTGGTGGGCTATGGTTTACTCAGCCCTGCCCGGTCCACTCCCTTCCAAAACCAACTCACACACTACTAACAGATGGAGCTACCTTGATCAGCTTGCCCAATACCCAGGCCTGGACCATATGCTCATCAGTGGGAGTTATGACCCACTAGGGGAGTTTCCTAGGTTCCCCCACTCGGGCTACTCCCAGAATCAGATCTCACACATGCCAGTGGGTGCTTGGCCCTTATCCAGCATGGTCTGCCCCATCTGTCCTGGCCTTTGTTTTATTTATTTTTTTAAAGATTTATTTTTATTGTGAAGTCAGATATACAGAGAGGAGGACAGACAGAGGAAGCTCTCCCATCTGATTATCTCCCCAAGCAAACTCCATGGCTGGAACTGAGCCGATCGAGAGTCAGCAGCTAGGAGACCCCTCCAGGTCTCCCACACAGGTGCAGTGTCCCAAGGCTTTGGGCCGTCCTTGACCACCTTCCCAGGCCACAAGCAGGGAGCTGGATGGGAAGTAGGGCCACCAGGATTAGAACTGCTGCCCATATGGGATCCCAGCACGCTCAAAACAAGGACCCTAGCTGCTAGGCCACCACGCTGGGCCCCTGTCCTTTGTGTGAGGTGGAGCAGCCTGGCCCGCCTCACACCATCTCAACTCTCAAGCCAACCAGTGGGACTTGTATTCCATAGAGTTGGACCCACATATCACCCACAGATCCAACCTGGACCTGGTTCTTTTGCGTGCTGGTTGGTGTCATGGTCCAGTCTAATGTGACCCATCCCCTGATCCGACACTTACTGTCAGGTACTGAGATATAGCAAGACAAACCCTCAGCCATAGCTTGCATGTATGCTGGCGTGTGGTGGTCAGCCATGTTCCATACTAACAAGCCCAACCCAGGAGTCCCACGTGGACCAGGTAAAAAGTCTTTTTTTTTTTTTTTAAAAGACAATATGTCAGAATGTAAGAGACAGGTTTTTTGTTTTGTTTTTAGAAGTTTATTTTTTTTTAAATTGGAAAGTCAGATATACAGATAAGAGGAGAGACAGAGAAAGATCATCTGTGTGCTGATTCACTCCCTAAGTGGCAGCAATGGCCAAAGCTGAGATGACTCAAAGCCAGGGGCTTCCTCCAAGTCTCCCACACAGGTGCAGGGTCTCAAGGCTTTAGGCTGTCGTTGGCTGCTTTCCCAGGCCACAGGTAGGAAACTGGATGGGAAATGGGGTCGCCAGGATTAGAACTGGTGCCCACATGTGATCCTTGTGCATACAAGGCAAGGACTTAGTCACTAGGCTACGGCGTTAGGCCCAAGAGACAGGTTTTGCATCTACTGACTCCCCAAATGCCTACAATAGCCAGGGCTGGGCCTGGTCAAAACCAAGAGCCAAGAACTCTACCCGGGTCTCTACAGTGAATGGCAGATCCCTTGGGCTATCATCTCTACCTTGCAGGGAACTTCAGCAAGCACCAGCTGAGTCACAGAGCCTGTACAACTCAGCCGGCACTGACCGGGATGTGGTGTCGGACCCCAACGCCAACCCTAAGGGCATTCTGCATGGACGCTTCGGCTAAACTCCTCAAAATACTCCCGGAAGAAGCACAAGGGGTATTGTTCTTTGGTTTTGCAGCAACTGTTGCCTTGGACATGTGGGATGTCAGTGCTGAAAGTTCCGCTTAGCCTACTAGGTGAGCCCCCATTCTTACTACCTCATTCTTGTTCACACATCCTAAGTAAATATGAGGTTATTTTGGAATAACAACAGCAAAAAAATTTGCCATCTCTGTATAGTTTTTAAGATTTATTCATTTTTATTGCAAAGTCAGATATATATAGAGAGAGGAGGAGAGACAGAGAGAAATATCTTCCATTCACTGATTCGCTCCCCAAGTGACCACAACAGCCAGCGCTGCACAGATCCAAAGCCAGGAGCCAGGAGCTTTTTCTAGGTCTCCTGCACGGGTGCAGGGTCCCAAAGCTTTAGGCCGTCCTTGACTGCTTTCCCAGGCCACAAGCAGGGAGCTGGATGGGAAGCGGGGCCGCCAGGATTAGAATCGGTGCCTATATGGGATTCCGGTGTGTTCAAGCCGAGGCTTTTAGCTGCTAGGCTATGGCACCGGGCCCTTGCTTTAATATTAATTTGAAAAGCAGAGTTAGAGAGGACAGGGATCTTCCATCTACTGGCTTACTCCCCAAATGGCCACAAGGGCCAGGACTAGGCCAGACCGAAGCCCGGAGTGTCAGGCGGCTTCCAGATTTCCCGTGTGGATGTGTGGGCACACGGGCCATCTCCCTCTGCTTCCCTACGTGCACTGACAGGGAGCTGGAAGTGCAGCACAGGGGAGTTGAACTGGCACCTAGTTTGGATACTGGCCTTGCAGACAGCAGTTTATTCATTATGCCACAATACCAGCTCCATACATTAAAAAGCTTTGTTTTTTTTTTTTAATTTTTATTACAAAAGTCAGATATCCAGAGAGCAGGAGAGACAGAGAAGAAGATCTTAAGCCTACCGATTTACTCCCCAAGAGGCCACAGTTGCCGGAGCTGCGCCGATTTGAAGCCAGGAGCCTGGAGCCTCTTTCCAGTCTCTCACACAGGTGCAGGGTTCCAAGGCTTTGGGCCATCCTTGACTGCTTTCCCATGTCACAAGCAGGGAGCTGGATGGGAAGTAGGCTGCCAGGATTAGAACTTGCACCCATAGAAGATCCTGGCATGTGCAAGGAGAGGGCTTTAGCTGCTAGGCTACCATGCTGGGAACAATTTTTGCTTTTTTTTTATTTATGAGAGAGCTCCTATCTGCTAGTTCACTCCCCAAATACCTACAGAAGCTTGGTCTGGGCTGGAGCCAAGTTAGATGCCAAGAACTCCGTGCAGGTTTCCTCCCTGGGGAGCAGCACAGCTGCTTTCCAGGGTCTGCACAAGCAGGAGCTGGCACCAAGAGCCAGAGCCTGGAAGGAGCCCAGGCACTCGCCCGTCTAGGAACTCGAGACCTCTGTAAACACTGGCGTCCCATAAGGATGCGGGTTCCCGTCCCGGCTGCTCCACTTCCCATCCAGTTCCCTGCTTGTGGCCTGGGAAGACAGCAGAGGACAGCCCAAGTCTTGGGACCCTGCACCCACACAAGACCCGAAAGAGGTCTCCTGGCTTCAGACCAGCTCAGCTCCTTCAGTGGCCAAATGGGCAGTGAACTAGCAGATGGAGGATCTTCCTGTCTCTTCCTCTCTCTGTAAATCTGCCTAATCAGAGTAAACTTTTAAAAATGGGCACCATTATACAAACTCCCTTCTTGGTTCATAGATTCTGGATTCTGCCCTCCTCCGAGCAGGTCAGCAATACTTCATTTCCATGCTTACGGGGGTTGGGGCATCAAGTATACCACTTCAATAATACACCAAACATTAAAACAATTTTTCCAAGTTTGAGCTTTATTGGAAAACATTCCTCTAATTTGCAGTCGTCTAACTGAGCATGGTAAGTGGAATATAAGGCAGAGTTTTAAAAAAAATAGAACAAAAGCCACATAGTAGCACAGTCAAAGAACTAGAACTCTCCAAGGGCTCAAGAGAATTCAAAGGGCATCTTAGGTGTTAAGAAACCAAGTATGGCTTTCTTGCTGGTTTAAAATGAGAAGAGTCTGGTTACTGCCACCTGCTTGAAGGGGTGAATACAGATGTTTTCTGCGGGTCCAGAGGCCACAGATAAGCCGTCTGCACCCGGTGTCCTATCTGAGCCTGCTGGTGATGGCCAGGTCCTCTGCACGTCCCAGGCAGCCAGGCCTCCTGCCCCATCTCTACTTCAGATCCATGAACCGGATGTCCATGATGAGGAGGAAGTTCTTGGGCAGGGGGCGGGGGGCTGGAGAGAGCACGGTGAACAGCTGGTGCTCCAGGTCCACGCTGGTGACCACAATGAAGCCAGCCACGCTGGTCTCGGAGAGGTTCTCCTCCGTGCCCTCGGCGGTGCTCACACTCAGCAGGTGGTGTACCATGTCCCGGCCGGGCGTGACGGGCACCAACTTCAGCTGATTGTCCTCCTGAGACATGCCCAAAGGCAAACAGGAGTCGGGGATGCTGGGTGCCCCCACTTTGTAGATCTTCACGTCTGAAAACTTCACGTTGAAGGCGTGGGGATAGAAGCAGCCTCGGAATCCGTAGAAGTACTCCCGGATGCGCTCGTCCCTGCATTCCCGCCGGAAGTCTTTGGAGCGTTCCACCACACCGCCGGACTTGGGCAGCAGCACGGTGCGCACAAAGTGGGGCAAGTCCCGCTTCAGTTCGTTGTACAGTCGTTCTTGATCCAGCACGACGACGACATCGACCTCAAAGGCTGAAGCTGCATGGACCAGGGCCTGGTAACCAGAGCCCTTGACCCAGCCACAGGTGTTGATGACACAGCCACTCACAGATGCTCTGCGGTTCACCTCACACCTCTGGTTGAACACATCCGCTAAACGAGATGTGATCTGCAAAGGACACAAGGAAGTGACACCAAAACAAGACCAGGCAAACCCACGGTTCTATCCCTATTTAAGCTAAGTGCAGGATCTGACGAAATGGCCCAGCAGCTAAATCCTTGCCTTGCGACGCTGGGATCCTGTAGGGGGCCAGTTCATGTCCCGGCTGCTTTACTCCCCATCCAGTTCTCTGCTTGTGTCCTGGGAAAGCAGCAGAGGATGACCCAAACCCATGTGGGGTATCTAGAAGAAGCTTCTGGATCCTGACTTTGGATTGGCTCAGTTCTGGCCATTATGGTCACTTGGAGAGAGCCAATGGATGGAGGATTGATTCTGTCTCTCCTTTGCTCTGTAAATCTGTTTTTCCAATAAAAATAATTACATCTTTTTTGTGCCACCAGCATCCCAGGCATCATCTCAGCTTCAGCTCCCTGCTGATTGCAACTAGAAGGCGGCAAATGGCCAATTACTTGCTTCTCCTCTCACATAGGCGACCCTATGCGGCTTTTGGCTCCTGTGTGTGACCGGGCCCAGCCTCAAACACTGCAGCCATTTGTGAGGTCAATCTACAGAAGAAAGATCTCTTTCTCTCTCTGTCACTCTGCCTTTCAAGTGCAGAGATTTTTTTTTAAAGAAAAGATTTATTTGTTTTTATTTATTGGAAAGGCAGATGTACAGAGAGGAGGAGAGACAGAGATGAAGATCTTCCATCTGATGGTTCACTCCCCAAGTGACCATAACGGTTGGAGCTGAGCCAATCCAAAGTCAGGAGCTATTCTGGGTCTCCAACACACAGGTGCAGGGTCCCAAGGCTTCGGCCTATCCTCAACCACTGTCCAAGGCCACAAGCAGGGAGCTAGATAGGAAGCAGGGCTGCTGGGCGAGAACCTCAACCACTACGCTGTTGTGCCGGGCACAAATGCATAGATTTTTAAAGATTTATTTATTTTTATTGGAAAGGCAAATACCCAGAGAAGAAAATACAGAGAAAGATCTTCCGTCCATTGGTTCCCAAAGTGGCTGCCAACAGCTGGACCTGAGCCAATCTGAAGCCGGGAGTGGGGGCTTTTTTCGGGTCTCCCACATGGGTGCAGTGTCCCAAGACTTTGGGCTGTCCTCTGCTGCTTTCCTAGGCCACAAGCAGGGAGCTGGATGGGAAGTGGAGCAGCTGGGATATAAGACATCCATATGGGACCCCGGTGCATGCAAAGAGAATTTTAGCCACTAGGCTATCGCTTGGAGCCCAAACACATAGATCTTTTTTTTTTTTTTAAAGATTTATTTTTATTATTTTTTATTGGAAAGGCAGATATACAGAGAGGAGAGACAGAGAGGAAGATCTTCCGTCCGATGATTCACTCCCCAAGTGAGCGCAACGGGCCGATGCTATGCCGGTCCGAAGCCAGGAGCCTCTTCTGGGTCTCCCGCGTGGGTGCAGGGTCCCAAAGCCTTGGGCCGTCCTCGACTGCTTTCCCAGGCCACAGGCAGGGAGCTGGAAGGGAAGCGGGGCTGCCGGGATTAGAACCAGCGCCCATATGGGATCCCGGGCGTGCTAGGCGAGGACTTAACCACTTGCGCCACCGCGCCGGGCCCAAACACATAGATCTTTAAAAAATATTTCCTGGGGGGGCTAGCTTTGTGGCGAAGCAGCAGTATGACCTGTAATACCAGCATCCCACATGAGTGCTGGTTCCAATCCAGCTCCTGACTCACGTGCCGGGAAATCAGGCCCAAGTTGGGCTCTATATCCATGTGGGAGATCCAGACTGCTGGCTGTCCTCTCCCAGACGCAGTGGCTATCTGGGAAATGAACGAGCAACTGGGCGGTCTCCATCTCTGTCCTCCTTGCTCTCTATAATTCTTTCAAACAAATAAATAAGTCTTTTTAAAATATTTAACAGAATATTCAGTGTCAAGTGTAAGAAAAATAACGACATTTTTGGTGGCTACAGTTCCGAGCCTGTATTATGGATTTAGTTTCAATTTGTTGTTTAACAATGATGAAAGCTTTATATGCGAAACTCTTTTCTGAAATCCTATGGGAGCCATTTCGCCCTAGAGAGAACAGGCAGCCCACAAGCTCCCCACCCCAGCTGCCTACCCTGATGCCAGCCTTCTCTTCCACCGGCCGACAGCGGCTCTCACCTTGTTATACAGCTTGATGTTTGTGCCAGGAGTGGTGGAGCCAAAATGATACACCAGAGGGGCTTGTATAGAGAACCCTTCTTCCACGTCGGCTGGCCGCTCGATGTAGAGGGCCCCCATGGTGCCGGGGATGGACACGGAGCCCTGGCCCACGTCCAACTCCACGTAGGTGGGACGGCGACCCAAGCGCACAGCGTAGTTGAGCAGCAGGCGACACACGGTGGACTTGCCCACGTCGGTGGGGCCCACCACCATCACTCGGGGTCCCCGCTCTTCTTCCTTCTCCGCCTGCCTCCGCATCTGCTCCAAGGCTGTGTGAGTGTTGAGGTAAAGCAGCATCGGGGTGTCCTTGGAGACATAAGCCACCTCGGTGCGGCCGCTCAGCTGCAGAGAGCAGCCATGCCACGTGAAAACAGCCACCTTGGCACCAGCGTCGAAGGTGAACTTCTTGTTCCGAGTCAGCTCGGTGCCAAAGATCTCAGCCATGCCGGTGAGCAGCTCCAGCTGAACGGACTGCGAGGCTTCCACCTCGAAGCGAAGCTCTGTTTCCCGCTCCAGTTCGAACTTGGTCGTGGGCTTCTTGTCGTCGCTGCTCTCCTCGCCCATCCTTTCTGAGTAACCGTGCCTAGAACGCACACTTGACCATCAGATCTGATCGGAAACCAGGGCCCGTCTCAAAGTCTCCCAACAGAACTTTTTCTCTTACCTTCCTTTATTTCTCTCCATATTCCTTATCCCTACCTGACTCCTCCTGGATGTCTGTCTCCCTCAAACAGAACGCAATGGTTGAGCATATTCTTCGCCAGGCTAGAACCTACAACAGGGCTTGGCCGACTGTGGGTGCCTCCATCAATACATGCAATCAATGACTTGGAGACAAGGAAACATCCCCCACAGAGTGGCAAGATGCCCGGCCACCTACATCACCCCCTTCTTCACCACTCAGCTGCTGAGAAGGCAACAGAGGCCCCGTCTCCTCAACCCTCTTAGTCAACCAGCAAGGGCGACTGCGATCGGAACACGAGCAGAGGACGTGACAGGTGCAGCATCAGCCAGCCTGCAACTGCCCGTGGTCTTCCCACACCCCGACCGTGCTCCTCAGCTGCTAGCTGGCGGCACGCTTCCTCACAGTGCTGTTCTAACGACCAGCAGGGATTGTGGGAGGTTCTGAAACAATAAAAACACACTTCATACACTAGAGATTCCCATCTGGGACCGCGGCTCTAAGCGAGGTCCAGCGTTTGTCTAACCTTCCCCAGACGTCGAAATCTGCCCAAGCCGCAAGGAAGTGACAGTTGCGTTCCTGAGTTTATTCCTCTCACCTGCACAGCCGCGAGCAAAGACCGGTAAAAATCAGCAGCGTCTCGGACCACGGAGACCCAACTCGCAGCCGCGTTCTCCCTGGATGGTTCCGGAAACACACGCGGTCCCGCACTGACGCATTGAAGGCGACGCGGCGCGCGGTGCCCCTTGGGATATGCAGTCCGGGGGGCGGGGCCACTCAGCCTTCTGGGAGTTGTAGTTAAAGTGTTGTTTGGATCGTGACGCCAACAGGGGGCGGGGCGGCGGGCGTCACGCCGAGCGCCGTCGGCGGGGGGCGTGTCGGTGTCGCCCAGGCGTGGGGCGTGAGGGGGATGCGCGTGGAGGGTCGGGGGTCTCTCCGCCGGATTGCTGTTGGGGGCTGCTTGCTTGGTCCCCGAACCAGGAATGAGGCACATTGGACAAAAGCCCCGTTTATGCAGGAGGAAAAATCCAGGTTGTTAAAGGCTCGAAGTGAGCTGTACTCTCTACCTCGCACGGTGCGTGGCACGCAGAAAATTTTCAAGGTTTTTCTTTGAAGAAATTTTTCTTTCCTAAAAGTCCAGCTTTCCAGTTATCTTTTCAATCATCTGTTGCCCAAATAACCTGGCTCCCACCCAGCGGGAAGGTTGGTGGGGGCCCGTGTTCCACTCCCTAAATCCCTCACGAATCTGTAGGGCCAGTGATCCTCCCGCAAAGCTGACAGATTCAACCTTGTCTATAATCCAGTTCTCATGAGCCGGGGCTTTAGGTTCTGGAACTGTTTGCTCTGCCACTTGCCTGGCGTGTGACCTGGGCACTGCCCAATCTCTGCACATGTGAAGTACCATGCCCGTGGCGGGGACTGTCCTCAGCTGTCAGCTTGGACACCAGAAGTTCGCCTAATCATCCCGTCCTTTGGGGCAGCCCTTGCTGTGGCCCTCTCAGCTATCTGCCTTCACAACCAGCCGGTGGAGGCAGCTATTTTATCTCCAGGTTCAGCGCGGGGAGCAGCCTGCCGAGGACTTGCCCAAGCAGTCATGCTAGGGCTCAAACCAGACTAAGGCAGTCTCAGTTCAGTAGCACACAAATAACCAACAGATGGGATGGGGGGTGTCAGACTGGTCAATGGGCTTTAGAGGGATACATTCATTTAGTGCCGGGAAGAGTCCCGTGCAGTGGGCAGGGTGATGGCCAGCCTCACCTCACAGATCAGCTCGGAGGAGTCATCCCAAATGAGGAGGGGACGATTCCAGTCCTGCCCTGTTCTGAGTTCACTTCTGAGCTCTGCTGCCCTTCATTCTTACAAATGTTTAAGATTTATTTATTTTCATTGGAAAGTCAGATATACAGAAAAGTTTTGATTACTTTTTAAAGATTCATTTTTATTTTTATTATTTTTTAATTTCAGAGTTAGAAAGATCTTTCCTCTGCTGGTTCATTCCACAGGTGCAGCAGCCAGAGCTGGGCTGGTATGAAGCCAGGAGCCTGGAGTCTGGGTCTCCCATGTGAGTGCAGGCGTCCAAGCATTTGAGCCAGGCTCTGCTACTTTTCCAGGCCACAAGCAGGGAGCTGGATCGGAAGGGGAGCAGCGGGGATTCAAACCGGTGCCCACACAGAATGCTGGCACTACAGGTGGAGGCTGAGCATGTGCTGCGGTGGTGAGGGGCCGCTTGCTGGCTTACTTAAAGATGTAATTTCCTTTGCTTTAGTTTTCTAGTTGACAACTAAGCACCCTCCCCCCATCTCGTATCATTCTTCAAAAAATCGGTTCCTGTCTTCCATTTGCAAAGGTTCCTCCTAACAGAGTTCATCCTTCCCCATTTGTGGGTCATGTGTCTCCCGCATCTGTGTCTGTTTCTGTCTCTCTCCCTGGAGGCCATATCTACCAATGACCTGAAGGTCATCTTCATTGGTGTATTGGGTAATCATTCCAGGTTGCATTTAGGGAGAACACAGCCCTGCTTCTTCAACATGGGAGAGAGTCAGGGCAAAGAATTTTTTAAAAAAGATTTATTTATTTATTGGAAAGTCAGATATACAGAGAGAAGGAGAGACAGAGAGGAAGATCTTCCGTCCGATGATTCACTCCCCAAGTGAGCACGACAGCCAATGCTATGCCAATCTGAAGCCAGGAGCCAGGAACTTGTTCCAGGTTTCCCTCGCAGGTGCAGAGTCCCAAAGCTTTGGGCCGTCCTCGACTGCTTTCCCAGGCCACAAGCAGGGAGCTGGATGGGAAGTGGAGCTGCTGGGATTAGAACCGGCATCCATATGGGATCCCAGAGCAGGCGAGGACTTTAGCCCATCAGGCCCCAGGGCAAATAATTTACGGCATCTGTGCTTGCCTTCCAGCACTTCCAGCCTCACCAAACACGCCTGCCACCCCCACCCTATGCCCAGCTAACACTGTCCTCACAGTTCTCATTCCCCTCTCCAGCTCAGTCCTTGGTCAGTTTCTGCCTAAATGGGTTTGAATTCATTGGTGTGCTCCTTGCTGCCGTCTCGCGGCACCTGCCGTGCTGACTGGCCATCATCCTCCTCCCCGCCCCAAGTGCCTCCTTTTTCATCTGCTGCCCAGCAGAGAACCCTTCCCTGTTTTTTGTTTTGACCCTCCCAATTCTTACCCTTAAAGATACATTATGTTTTCACAGTTTACTTCAAGCTCCCTCCTGCCAATCTTCCCTGATTATTTAAAGAATTATTTAAAAGAATTATTAAAGATTATTTAAAGAATTATTTAAAGAAAGAGTTCCTCTTTCTCCCCAGACCTGTCTAGTAGTGTCTCCCCAACACCCACGTGCCCCGCTCTGTGCACGTGAGAATGACAGTAGATTGCCCTGTAGCACTTTTTTAGAAGCCTTATCTTTGCTGTACTTTTCTTCCTGAATGTTCTCCCTCTGTTAACAATTGGGGGTTTTTGTCTTAGGGAATGTCTACTGTGTCTGCTTACCCCAGTGACACACACAGGGCCACTCGGTGAAGAAGAATCTGAATCGAATGGAACTTAACTGAGGCTAAGAGGGATTCAGCAACAAAAGATGGGATTTTTCTCTTAAGACAAAACTTTGACAACTTCATGAAAATGCCAGAGTTTAATGGCAGGTCCTTTGTGAGTTCAGGGCTAACAAGTTGAAAATGCTATCTTTGCTTGAGAAAGACTTATTTATTGTAAAAGATTTATTTTTCTATTGGAAAGTCAGATATACAGAGAGGAAGATCTTTCATCCGCTGATTCATTCCCCAAGTGACCGCAACGGCTGGAGCTGCACCGAACCAAAGCCAGGATCCTGGAGCCTCTTCCGGGTCACCCATGCGGGTATAGGGTCCCAAGCACTTGGGCCCTCTTCCACTGCTTTCCCAGGTACATCAGCAGGGAGTTGGAGCAAAGAGGGAGCTGCACCCAGGGATTGAACGTGGCCCTCCTGTGAGAACCAGCCCCTAAACATGCTATCTTGAAATAACACTGACTGCTGTTTACTAAGCGACTCTCACGCCAGGCACTTGTTAGGCATCTGAATGCTACCACAGCTAATAAAGTCTCCGTCGGGTCGATTATCATTAGCTTCGGGGAGAAGAGGATGACTAAGGCAGAGTATCGGTAACTTGCCTTGTGATTTTCAGTGAGTGATGGGCACAGCCAAGATCCTGAGAGGCCAAAGTCAGATGCTGGGTCCGTGGCCGCAGAGGCACCTCTGCTGCTTTGCAGGACCATCTTCTGTGTGCAGGCTTGGGATGCAGCGAAGTTTCCCGGAGGACCTGCCTCAGAGTTTATAACCCAGCAGGGAACCTTACATAATGAAGGTGTCTCCGTGGGTGAAGCACCACATGCATTTGGAGGAGGCAGCCGAGGAGAGGTCCCTCCCTGTACGTCAATGTCCTATCTGGTCTCACACTCTTTGTGAGGCTGGGAACTGCCTGGCAGGGTACACGCTTGGAGGCACAGGCGGCCATCCATAATGACGGACACATCTTACTGCTCCCTGCATCAGGGCTGCCATCTGAGCCGAAAGGGCAAGCTGTACCATCTCCGATGTGTGTGTGTGTGCGCGCTGCTTGGTTCTCTGCAACGACCAAGTCTTGCTTCACCAGCCTCGCCACCCTGACCCCTCCTTGCCCAGCCCTGTCACTCCCGCAAGTTCCTTCCGATCCTCCAATAACAACCTCTTGCACCCACCATCCACACGCCTCCCTCTCACAGCCCCCTGCTCGCTCATCCTTCTGTCCCCACTCCCCCCAGCCCCGGCCCTCCCTTCCGCCCGACCCGCCTCCTGTGTCTCCCAGCCCTGCTCTGACGTGGGAGGTGAGGGGGGGTGGAGGGATGGATGACTCACAGTGTTATGATGCAGTTCCACAACACACAGCCACATTCACCCACAGACTGAGGGGACAGAACGAGAGACAACCTCTGCCCTCCCCAACCCCTCGGCAGCTGGCCAGCACCCCCACCCCCGACAACCCTCTCCCGCCCCATCCCTTTGCCCGTTGAAGGAGCGGAAAGAGAAGAGAGAAGAGTGAGCAGAGAGATTGAGAGAGAGATTGAGAGAGCTAGACGGAGATCTCTGGAGCAGACGTCAAGGTGAGGGGGCAGCCTTTCTCGGACCGGATCTTCCTCCCCTTTGCTGCTGTCCTCTCGCTGCCTGCGTGCTGCTTTCTCCCCTCTGCTGTTCATCCACCCTTTGTCCTCCCTTCCCCCTCCCCGCCGCCTCCGTTCCAATGGCTCCTGCATCCCTCTCCCAGCCCGGACGATTCCCAGCAACTTTAGCTGCAGCATCACTGTTTTGTTGCTGTGCAGACCACCCTGCCCTCCCCTCCCCTCCCCCTCTCAGTAGCTTGAGAGTTGGCTTGCTCCCTCCTCGGACCTTACCTTACCGGCGAACGCCCCAGCCCGGGGCAGGGGGTGGGTTGTGGGTGGTAAGACGGAGACCTCAGTGCAGAGGCGAACATCCATCGTGAGCAGGTGTTTCCCCTCCCCCACCCTGCCGGGAGACACGGATTCGCACCTGGTTCCTCCAGCCTCCATCTGTTGTCAGCTGTCAGTCCTCCCCGCCCCCTTCCCTGCTACCTACCCACCGCCAACTGTCCAGACTGGCTCGCTTCAGGGGGACCTTCCCTCCCTGGTGCTGGCCTGTTTCTATCCC